TATCTATCTATCTATCTATCTATCTATCTATCTAGGTTTTTAATTTTCTTTCGGCTTAATTGAGCCTATAGAAGAGGTAAGATAGAGCCGGATAGTCTTCTTACCATAGTTTTAACGTGAGACTTTTATAGGAAAGAGAGGTAGCTCTGATGATGTCCATCAAATGATGGACGAAAGCTCAGCCCGTTTTCACCAAAAACGAAGGAGGAGGTCTCGTGGACTGCGTCAACCAAACGGCTGCAGTACAACGCGATTCAGCCGTTCTCATCTGGTGAGATCGAGGAACGATTCTCTTCTTCATGCGCTTTCATACAAAATGAAATTCCCCTCAACAATGTTATGTCAGGAGATTTACCGAAGCCCGGTTTCTCTTCGTATCTTGTAATGACGTCTGATTAATCGTTTAAACATGTCTATGGATAATAATTGAAAATAATTTAGTTTATTTTCAATTTCTGGATATTAACAGTAGAATCTCCCTTTCCGATTATTACCTCCTTTAAACACCTTAATCTTTTTGGATTCGCTTCAAATTATGCCAGGATAATAGTTGAATTATCCACAATTAAATGATTAGAATGCCTTTTATTTTATTTTAAAAGGTAGATGGAAGTGATTCGTAACTTGATTTGATCGGAAACCGATGGAGGGGATTATGATTGCTGGTTTTTGCGAATAAGATCTCAGCTTATCGTCCTACGACCCAAATGAATCCGTTCTAACCTTTTATGTGTACCATCATTTAGGGAAAAAAACTTCAAAACTCTTAACCAAAAAGGTCTCCGTTTTGAAGCCCGATTACCTCTTGTGCTTAATTTTGCCACCTTACTAGGACATTACATGACTTGGGTGGCTAATTCTCGCTTGCTTTAGGTGCTTGTAGATGAAGGGGATGCATGAAAAGGATGTGAATGTTGTCATACCTGTTTCCTAGCTTAAATTAACCAACACTTGATCATGCAATGTTGGCGTATGCGCTATTGGTGTGTGTATGAAATGCTAATGAGTCATTTGACATGTTATACCAAACAAGACTTTAGGTAAATCATCTCCGCTCTTTTCCCTGATTATTTCCAATAGCCAACGTAGTTATTACCTAATTTCTTACATTCATTCATCCTATTCATTATGTTGGTTTTGTTAGTTTTTATCTATTTTATAGCTGTTGGGTTTTAAACAATTTTTTGTGTAACTCCTTCTCAATCCGAAGAGGTTGTTGGTTGGTAGAAGCTTTTGAATTGGCCATACTGGAAATCAAAATAGTATTTTGTGGTGAAGACTCAATCTTTCTGGATGCTGAAGGCGATCACCTCAATGTTCCAGTAGGGCCAAACTACAGCTGGCAACTAGGAATTCGTCGTCTTCTTCGATTCTCTCCATCGCACACGTTTAGGTCTTATGTTCACCGCCCCTTCACATGTTCACTTCTCTCAGAAGGCCAACTTGAATTGCTGCTTTGCCGAGAGACTAACTAGCTGGTTTGTTCGCCCATTTTGTCTGATTTCTGACTGACAGTAGTGGGGTGTCCATGCATGTGCTTGTTGGTGCGCCTATATGCTTGCGACTGTGCCTGTTTGTGTGCAGATACTTTGGCATGTTTATGTGCCTGTTTCTTACTACGCATGTACATTTCTCAATTCCTCCATGTCTGCTTGCATATTCGTCTTGTGCTGTTCTTCTGGCCTTATGAAATGCCTGCTTAAACGAGCTACAGGCTTTCGATGCAGTGGTCGCTATGCTGGATCGATTGCGCCCGGGAGGCTTGAGGTAGACACCCTTTTCTTGTGTCTCGTCTTCATTTTGATGGAGAAGTTGGTTGGAAGGGATTCTACAATTGCCATCGACCGAGACGGCAGGAGACAGTTGAATTATGCCAGCCGAGAATGTCTTGGCACAATTCATCAGTTTTCCTCTTCATTTGCCCTAGAGCCCAATTCACAGAACCCTTCCATCCCTGCTTTCCTTCGACATCCAGAGTCGGGTCATTTGATGATTCTTTCAGGCCCAACTTTTATTTGTCTTGTATCGGTGTCCACTTAGCCTCAAAGCCAGCCCATCTGCAGACATTTCAACAGTATTGTCTACTCTATTTTCTTGCTGCAGGCGTCTAGAACTTCTTTACGCCCATAATTGTAGAATATTAAACTCTGACTGCAGCCTACCAAAAGCGTGTCTGGAGAGCTCAGTATTATTTGCAACTCGTACCAATCTTTTCCAATCTCTCTACACACACGTACACACAGACAACTGCATACACTCTCTGGTACTAATTATACTTTTCACCTTTACCAGACAAATCCTTAGTATCGCCTGTCTTACTCTGTCTAATCTTTTATTATCTTTAGAATAGTGATACTGATTAGTGTCGAAAATACAACTTTAATGGATTTCCTAATGTCAGCACTCGAACATTTACCGATATTAGTTATAGATCCTTCAAAATTATTTCTATAATATATCATATAATTGTGATACTAATACTACTAATTAATATTGTGATATTAAAATAGAAAATTTTAACACTTTCAATATTTCCCAATTTCTGTGAACATGCACTCTGGTTGTCAAACAAATATTCTTATTCATTTAGGTTTTCTAAAATAGCTGTTCACATATCCAATTTACTTCGCTGTCCAAGTGACTTTCAATTTGTGGCGCCTATAGGCCGCGGTGCCTATGGCCGAGTTAGCGTGGTTCGTGAGAAGAGCTCGGGTCGCGTTTGTGCCATGAAGATGCTGCCTAAGCAACGCTTGCTGACGCAACACGCCGACTGTTGGGCAGAACGCGAGGTCATGGCTTGTGCCGACAGTCCTTGGCTGGTACGACTCTTCTACGCTTTCCAGGTGATCTTCATACGATTATTGTGTTCATTTTTCTCCATATTATTTCGTAGATTCATTCAGATACTCTGACTTGGTCTTATGTACCCACTTCAATATGGGCATGGGATCTAAATAAACATTGGGATCATGTTTAAACGAGTCTCAATCATTCAGTCATTAAATTTTCTCTTGATAGTTTGTCTTTTTTTACATACACGGACTAACGGTAAGCTGGAAAGCATTTTAAGTCTCATTTTTGCATTATCCTGATACAGCTAGGCAGGGACTTAGACAAAGCTCGAATTGGAATGTTTCCTAACGTTGTTGACAGTAGCTATCTGGCTTTGATATTTTTTTACGCTGAAAGGTCGCTTAAGGTCGTCTAGGCTGCCAAAAGGTGATTTAGGGAATGATAATGGAGTTTTTTTCACTGATATGAGCAGGCTTCAGGATGCTATTGAATTTACTTTCGTTTTTTTCATTCAAGCTGGACTGTAGTCACCCATTTATTGCTGTGGTGAAAGAATAATGATAAAATGAAAAATGTGAAGAGTTTCGATGATTTGTTTATATATCACAGGCCCTCATCAGGACGAACTGTGAAATCAGTTTCCAGTTTTATATACTTCGAAATTGGCTATGCATTTTTCAGCTTTTAAAATAGTGGCCTGTAGAGTAAGAAAAAAACAGTTGATTTACAAATATTATTAAGCGTAGAAAGAAAATTATGCTAGGTAATCGTATAAGATGTGTTTGTCCTATTTCGTTTAAGGTGATAAGGACTATTAGTTGAATTCTCCCACAATAGTGTGAGTGAAATTTACGTTTAAATTGAATTTCACATCCATGAAAATGCCTGTTGGGAAACAAGGCTATGTCAAATTCACTGAAAAAGTATGCTTTATTCATATTATTGTGGCAAAATTTAACTACCACTCCTTCATCACCCTAAACGAAATATACTAAACACATCTTACTGACAATTTCGAAACCCTACTTGCAAAAGAAAAATAAGTAGTCATAGTTAGAACTTAGTGACTCTAGCCTGGTTAAAACGATCCTAGAAGTTATAATGAAGTCTTTTCCACAACACTCTACTCAAACCTAAATTAAGTAATATGAGATGTATTCACTCAATTTCGACTCCCGATGAAGGTGATGATAAGACCGATGCGAGGTCGAAAATGCAGTCCATCCTGGATGAGAACAACTTTTGGGAAAGCAAGGCTATGTGAAATTCAATGGAAACGTCCGCTCAACTCATGTCATTGTGGGAAAATTCTTCTTCTACCAGATTTTTATCACCTTAAGCGAAATTTGGTGAATACACATCATATTACTGATTTACTGTTAGTCACGAAAACAATACTTAATTCGAAAACTAAATTAAGCAATTTCGTCGATTGTTTGCCTCATCCAAAATCTCATTACAGATGCGATATGGGAGATTTATGGCCTGAGGTGGCCGTGTAGTAGAATGATAACGTGTTTCGAAACATGCTCACACAAAAAATGCTTGTTTTATTCTCTAGGGATAATGATATCGTGTTGGTAACTATTGGATAGAGAAATTCGGAATTTAAATATTTTATAAAATTTACACTTTGATTCGCCTACCCTTTGCCTTGAGGCTTGATTCAATTCGATTAATTTTTTCCCTAATTATTTTTTTAGTTAGCATGATAAGCTTATAGTATTTTATATTTTTCTTCAAGGATTCTATCTTTGTTCTGGGGCCAAAAAGCCTCGGCTACTTGACCATGATAATTTATCTTATATTCTTGTATTTATTCTACAAGCAAATGATCTTTACTTGTTTTCTTATTAACCGTTTACGCACTTAGTTAAGGGCTATTCACTATAATGCATACCTACCAGTGTGTTGTCTTTGTAGATTCAACTGCGTTGCTTCTCATGATTTTGTACCGCTTATGCCGATTACTTCGAAAGCTAGCATGGGATTTACTTTTTATTCTTTTTCCTTTGACATTGTGAAGGAGCATCTTTTTTAAAACCTATTTGTTGATGGACTGCCTAAATTTTAAACCTGCTCTTTTGACGGGCTATAAAAAGTTAGAGCCTCAGTTGCATCACTTGAGACAAGTTGTAGGCCTACTCACATGTAATATAAGTTACGTATTCGATTGTAATGACAAATAGAACTTTGTTTCATTGACTTTCTCAATTTTAAAACTGTGATTTGTGGAAGCATGGCCTGGCTTAAAGATCACATTTACCTTGAGACCCACTGCAATCCATTCTTGGCTGTGGGGCAGA